TCAGCAAAATGTTGTGTTTGAAATCCATTCACATCAATAGAAATTTCGAGCAAGGCAAAAAATTCCCCTGCGTTGATTTCAGAACGGGATCAAAGTTGGTTGCGTGAATTCACCACACTGAACAGATCATTTGTTTGAAGGTGACTTTTGTGTGAGCTGTTCTTCATGCATTTCTACACTACTGACAATGGACCAATGACTTTTTGCTACTGTGATCACACCTTAAAAGTTAAGTAAAGGATACATAAGTATACCACAAAAGTATCCTAAAAGTGATCTATACCTTTCAACTCATACGTCATATTAAAGCTACACTCTAAAAAATGCTGGGTTGTTTCAACCCAATTTTTGGTCAAATATGGACTAACTCAATTGTTGGGTTAAATTTTGGTTACATTTTTAAATTAACTTTTTAACCCAACAATTTGATTAGTCCATATTTGACCCAAAATTGGGTTGAAACAACCCAGCATTTTTTAGAGTGTATATGTGAGGTATAGAGTGAAATTTAAGCCATTACTTTATACTTTATTCTTAAGAACAAGATCATTCGAATGATATGAATCATTTGGACCAGTTATATAACTAGATCAACTGATTCACCGAAAAGATATGCCTCAAAAGTATAGCCATTTTCATTATACCTGCTTTTCCTTTTCCATTGCTTGAAAACTTCAGTCTCATTCTTATAACTGCATGGAAAAGAAGACTAGCACATCTTCAAAAATTCTCCTTTTGTGTTCCGCAGCAGGAAAAAATTCAGGTTTGCAACTACATGATTATGAGTAAATAATGACAGAACTATTATTTTTGCTTGAACTTCCTTTAAAGCAGGGGTGGGCAAACTTGGCCCTTCCAGGCCACTTTCCTTCAGAGTTTAGCTCCAACCCTAATCAAACACACCTGAACCAGCTAATCATTGTCTTCAAGACTACTAGAAGGCTACAGGCAGGTGAGTTTTATCAAGGACGGATCAAATCTCTGCAGGAAAGTGGCCTGAAAGGGATAAGTTTGCCCATCACTGCTTTAAAGCCTCTTCTTATGTAAGAACAGACCTTTTCTTTTCTCTCATCTCACTGAAAAACCACTAAACCTCAGACTTAACCCACAGCTGCTGAGGGCAATCCTTAAAAGAAACATCAGACCACAGTATAATGTCAGCTTGCTTAATGAATCATTAGCCATAATGAGAGAGCGGGACATGTGTCAGATGGGTGTGTGGTTCACGGCAGCGTTCTGATGTTGTAACCCCACATTAAACCTGCACAAGCCCAATAAAACCATTATTTGGCAACAAAACACCATCTCCACATAGTCACAGAGACTGTGAGACTGTGAGAGTGGGAAAAAGAGAAACACATATGGATTACAGAGACTGAAAGGAATTCCAGGAATTCACACCCCACACACACATTAATCAAATATTAACAGAAAGAGACTCCATATGAGACTGTAATACATTCTAATTCATTTCGACTGTTAACAGCCGATCCAGCATCTGCTTCTCCCTGTCACTGACACATCTTATTTAACAACTTGCAAATTCAAGATTCTGAAGCAGTATTCAGATCATAAAAAACAAAATAACACCATGGGAGCCATTTTATAACACTTGTATAAAAGCAGAATGCAGTGATTTGGCACATTATAGTAAACCTAACCCGTTCACTCGGCTCAAATGAGGTCGATATGCTGTATCCTAAACCCTAAATTCAACCCTTTCCCCAGGCTAAAGCGGTAAACTGGACTGAAGCATCGTGTTTTTCACAGTGTATAGTTTCCTCATTGCTACAGATTTGTGGTTCTGAACTAAATTTGTATAGAGTGGAACTCAAACAAAATATCCAGTGGTTACTAAGGTGACAAATCCCAGATTCAGACTTCTGCTGTGTCACTGACATTATTGCTAGAGAGATTATTGCAGAATCGACAGAATCTGCAAAATGAAGCAAGCTCTTCTTTGGTGTAATTACGTCCTGACCTGAGAGAATGTCTTCAACCCAGCTCTTGAGTGACTGATTCTGACATGCCAGTCAAAACAGAGGATTTCACCGCATACAGGCTAGACCACATTTTTGCTCTTCACCCACTGACAAACACACGTCTGCTCTTTAAAAATCACTGTTTGTTTGATTCAAATAAACACACTTAATCAACTGAGCATAGGGCTGATTTATCACGATAATTTTTTTTCATACCAGTCGATATCGATAGGCTAATTATCACGATAAATGTCAAATCTTTATTTCTTGCAAGTTTAAAGCCAGATTTTTGCTCCAAAGTGAAAGTTGTAGAAACCAGACCATTAATTTTCCTTAACAAAATAAATATCTAAATAGAAAAATTAATTTCTTAGATTCTGCATGTTCTAATGAGTGATATTGTTTCAAATCAAGAAACAGGTTTGGGTTGCCTGATAATAGTAATAAAAATTAATTTCTTAGATTCTGCATGTTCTAATGAGTGATATTGTTTCAAATCAAGAAACAGGTTTGGGTTGCCTGATAATAGTAATAAAAATTAATTTCTTAGATTCTGCATGTTCTAATGAGTGATATTGTTTCAAATCAAGAAACAGGTTTGGGTTGCCTGATAATAATTACATCGCCACCTGTTGGTTTGGCATGCTCTTGACAGTGCTTCATAGCATGTGTTTGCGTTTTCATGTGGACAGAGATTTTTTTTAAAACAGAAGAAGGAAAAACCCGTGTGTACGTGTGGACATGGCCTAAATCACCGAGTAATTTGTGTTCATCGCTGAATTCAAGCGCTTCACACTGGATCTCACAGCGCTGCTTAAAGGGTTAGTTCACCCAAAAATTCTGTCATTAATTACTCACCCTCATGTCGTTCCAAACCCTTACGACCTTCGTTCATCTTCAGAACACAATTTAAGATATTTTTGATTAAATCTGAGGGCTCTCTGACCCTTCCATAGACAGCAAAGGTAACTACCAGCGCCGCCACACGCTCGCGTCATGATACTGTCGTGAACGCGCGTCCAAAGTGACGCAGTAGAGACGAAAATGTAAGATATTTTTGATTAAATCTGAGGGCTCTCTGACCCTTCCATAGACAGCAAGGTAACTACCACGTTCAAGGTCCAGAAAAGTACCAAGATGATCGACAAAGTAGATTGTGTGACATCAGTGGTTCAACTGTAAAGTTACGAAGCTACGAGAATATAAGTATAAGACCTTTTTCACATTTCTGGGTTTCTCAGCAGCGGAAGTCGTCATAGTTGGGTTAACTTGAATAGCAGTGAATGGGAGAGTACCACAAATATATTTTTTGCATTCCCATTTGCTCAAATAGCAAATGAAAAACTCCACGATAGTGTTTTCATGAATTTCAATAAAAGGAAAAAAATTGAGAGACTGATAACGGCTGTCAGAAGAGAGAACGATGTCAAATTTATCATCCCTCCCATAGACGCTGCATTAGAAACACCCTCGCATTAGCGTTAACTGTTTTTTTTGTAATTTGATGCAAAGGTGATATAATACAAAGAATAGTGTTATAAATGTAGATTAATTTTTTTTTAAATACAAATATGAAAAACTTTCGAGGATTTTCGATGCTGATGACCGTTAAATGCGTCATCACAGTCTTGTGAAAAGGGTCCATCGTCAAGAATCCATTATGCACATTCTATATATAAAAGTGTACACAGATTCTTAAGCACAAAGAAAATGCTACAAAACATGAAAGAATAAAGTTAAGGATAGAGGATAAACATATTACATACAAAAATATTTATTATACATATTAAATCTAATCATGTTTTAAATATTTCAAATTTTGTATTTATGCTGTAGCTATTTTGTTTTACTTAAATGAGTGAATTTATCTAAAAATCACAGAGTGTTTCTTCACAACCGTGAGATCATAAACATGACAGGAAATGTTAAAACAACTGCTTAAACTTATGAAAAATTTAATAAGGAAAACCTATGAAAGTCATTACGTGAGCTAGGTGAACTCACAACAGTTGAAATATGGGAAAAGGATGAGAATTGATACTATGTAGTACAGATACTATATGGATGGACTGTATGTACAAGTTTATAAATTTAAACATCTGGTGGTGTTGACTACCAGTACACACACAGATGTAAGCCTTATAAGTATATATATAAAAAAACAACTAACCCATTTATTCTGTCTAATACATTCATAGTAGTAGCTGTTCTTTAAAATATACACATTTAACTTTTTTTTAAGTTAATACATATTTTGATTCGCACATGATCTGAGGACACAGGTACAGTAATGTCATCACTCTGATAAAATAAAGAGAAAAACAAATGAAATAATCACTGCAGTGATCTTAACACAAATATGCATCTCAAGCACTTCCAAAGTGAAAGTGTTGCCGTTTTAGGAACTAATAGCAGGGTAAGTTTGTCCCATGTTTCAAGAATCAGTGCATGGTTAATCTTTTATAAGTTGCGTGATAAACAATAAGAGCCATAAATTCAAGCATTGTTCAGCAAAAACCAGTGCTGTGGATATCAGATTTCCTATTGGACACAAAGCTTTCCTTACAGTGCTTAAAAAATCACATATGGACCATTTCACATGCTGCTAAACAAGCAATCAGTGCACTTCTCAAATGTGTGAAGAACAAACGATCAGATGTCTGACATCAGACCGGAACAAATAGAAACAGGGACAAAGGATGTTTGTAACATGGTTATATAGCATTTAATTGATATACTATAAAGATCACATAACTAATTATATCTAAATCCATAAAAATCAAGTCTATTAAGACTATATTAAGTGCATGAGTATGAAAGAATACAGTGTGGCTAAGAAATCAATGTTTATCATTGCACATAATAACAATAATAATAATAATAATAGCAGCGATACTGGAAATCTATCCTGGGATCTGAGATTCACTCTTCCACACCAGCACGCTCTCCAGATCACATTCACGACCAATATCCTTTCCCAAAAGATGTAATAATTCCATGAAATATTAATTGTATTACCTTCATATGTGTTTTTGTTCGCTCATCAGTCCTCGCTGTCAGAAGTATCCCAAGTTTACGGAGTTATTTCTCACTTTCACTGCTGGCCGTGCTACTGTCCGGGCCGAAAATATGGACTGCTGCCACTGACAGATCGTTCAGCCAATAGGCGAAGAACACTGGTCAGAATGATCCCTTCGGATTGGATGTTGTGCTCTAAGGGGAGGAGCTAAGTAAGCGTCGGTTCAGTGTCTTTGTCTGCGGTCGTTTGTTTTACATGCAGTTTATTGTAGTGATTTGAGCACATTACAGTTCAAATGTCGGAGCCTCTTTATTTACGATACACTTGATATTAATTTGCATTGATACCTATGAATACATTTCTTCTTTGTGAAGGTAAATGTTTTTCAGACATTCATGAAATATCAATGGCAGGATTTTAGACGTCTAAAAATGTAAAACATGCTCACTTTTTTATAAAAACAACATATCGATGATATTATCAAATGTAAATATATATA